AACGAAGCAGGGCAAGGGGAGAGAATCACTGGGGGGGCTACTTTGAAAAGGGCAGTCAAGGAGGGCTCCTCTGAGGAGGTGACATTTGAATGAAATTTCTTGTCTCTTTATGTGTTCATTTCTGGAGAAGAGACATGCTGGATTCAAAAGATTTGCAAACTCTGGAGGTGGGCAGAATGCCTTCCTGGTGGACTGTGGTTCCCCGGGCACCATGGCAGGGGCCATTGTAGGTGCGGAGACATCATTCTCCTTCCTCTGCCCTTTGTCCTGAGTGCCTCTGTCCTAGGAGCCCTTGGGTGGGGCTTCGCAGAGATGCTCGTCTGAGTCTCCCTGCCCTGTGTTCCCGTGGCACCGTTTTGTCTTCAAATTCTCAACCCATCTGTCCTCATCTTTGAAAAGATGGCTATTCCCTGAGCTTCTGGAGGGCTGGGTCCTGGTCTGTCTCATTTAGTGCTGTGTTCCCAACACTGGGCATGACGTCCGGCGCACGGGGGACACTCACAATGGAAAGTCCAAATACATGGTAGACAGACATCGTCACCATAAGAGCTGCCGCTCACTGGGTGCTTAGTCTCACAACAGCCCCGTGAGTTAGGGTTACTTATTACCCCCACTTCACCAGTGTTGCAAACCGAGGCTTGGAGCAGAGAACCCGTGTCAGGCCACGTGACAGAGGGCTGAGACTGGTCGGTAAGGTCACGGCGAGGAGGACGGTGAAAAACGCCGTCGACCTCCATCTGAGCTGTGCATTTTTAGAACCAGTCCGTTTATTCTTTCATTCATTCCCTCACTTTTAAAAAATGTAATCATTTTTTCAATAATTGCTAGACCTCAGCTCGTGTGCTGGGCCCTGGTAGGTACAGGTAACCAGGCAAATGTGAGGTTGCAGTGGCTCTCAGCGGTTCTCAGAGCCCCGGTGTCTGTGAACAGCCATGGGAGCCCCTGAGCCAAACCAAGGGATCAGGAAGGCTTTCTGGGTGAGGTGGGCCTGGAGCAGCAGGGCTGGGAGGGGGGTGCGCAGGCCGGCTGCAGGGGGAGGTGCTTTGGAGTGGAAGGTGACAATGACTGCACGAGCTCTTGGCAGAAGGGGCAACAGCTCCCAATGATGGAAACCACCTCTCCCTGAGGCTCCGAGGCCTTCCCGCTCCCCCCAACTTTTGGTGGCTTGGCCAGGCTGGGGCAGGGTTACCTTGCCTCTGAGTTGTAGGCATTCCCGCTCGCCTGGGCCCAGAGTCAGGGCTCAGTGAAAGATGGGTGATCTGTGCCAAATTAGCTACAGGCTCTGCCTGTGGCCCTGAGTCTCTTCCCTGCTGTGGGACTCAGTTTACCCACCTGTAAAAGGCAGAATTTGTGTTGGATACTCTCTGCAGACCCTGCATGGGTAACCTCTTGTGACCCAGGACATTCCTGTCAGCATCCCAAGTGGCCACGAGCCGTGGGGGCCTGAGTTCCCTGTGCTTCAATCCCAGCCTCCCTTGGACATCTGGACTGAGGGCAAAGAAAAAATCCAAGGGATCTACTGACCTTGATTAATGGGACAGTCTACTTTGTCCTTTCAGCAGGTGGCTGGAATGGGAAGAAAGGAGGAGCAGTTGCCCCCTAGGACCACGACTGCCCCCCCCAAGCTGGACATTGTGAGAAACTCACCTCCCACCCAGCATGCTCTGGGGCAGGACCCCGGCTAAAGGACCACTGACAATGAATAGGCTAAGGGCCGGGGATGTTTTGGCAGAAGTGGGTTTGGGCTGCTGTAGGCCTCTCTCATTCTGCTCGGCCACCTCTACTTTTTCCCGGTACTTTTTGGGGCATGAGGCTGAGATGTGCCTAGTATAGAGTAAGCTGACATACAAGAGGAGAAAGCAAGGTCTCTGACCTCCAGGGCCCTTGACCACAGACCCCAGGCCCTCCACACCTCACTTCTCTACTACTTAGTCTCTCTCCTCTTTATGATTCACCAGTGGCTTCGCATCACGCTTAGAACGCAATTCGAAGTTTTTCCTATGGTCTCCTGCATTCCAACCCCTCCTCACTCACTTCACTCTTGGCCACCATGGCCTTCTTTCAGCTTCTGGAAAATGCCAATCTCTTTCCCACCTCAGGACCTTTGCACGTACTGTTCCCTTTGCCAGAATGCTCTTCCCTCAGAATGTAGCATAGATGGCTCCTTGACACTGAACTCAAATATGTTCAAATATGCCGCCTCAGAGGGGTCTTCCCTGAGCCCCCTAAGAAAAGCAGTCGCTTGTGTTCATTTGCTCTCGCAGCTCCCTATTTCCAACAAGGCCCTTTCCCCAAGATGTAATTATTATTTCTTTAATGATTTCATTTTCTATTTTTAAATTATTTTATTTTAAAGATTTTATTCATTTATTTATTTGACAGAGAGAGACACACAGAAAGTGAAGGAACAGAAACAGGGGGAATGGGAGAGGGAGAAGCAGGATTCCCACTGAGCAGGGAGCCCGATGAGGGGCTCGATCCCAGGAGCCTGGGATTATGACCTGAGCCAAAGGCAGACGCTTAACAACTGAGCCACCCAGACGCCCCTGATGGGTTTATTCTGATGGGGAGCAGCCAACTGGGACCGGTGGTCGTGAAGAATACCCATGTCAAATAGCGGTCAGGATTCCAGCCCAAATCTGTTTGACTGTACCGGAAGCCTATGTTCTTTTCACTGTGCTAACACCTTCTGCCACACTAGAACTCAGCCTAAGACGGGTAACCAGGTTTCTAGATTCTGAAAGGCAGGCAAAGACCCAGATCACCCAGATGGATGGCCTGGCTTAGTGTTTACTGAAGTGGGTCTCGGAACTGAAGAGAGAGACCCAGGCTCAAGTAGGTACCACAGTACTTTTGCTGAGAATGACCATTAGCGTTCCTGGGCCAGGGCACTCTTCCTCTCAGGAAGGAAGTCAGTGGGCTTACGTGTCAAGGGGCATATTGGAAAAGTCAAGGCACAGGCTTCTGAATCATGCAGGAGCTCCTGCACCTCTGGTGCTGGGTGACTTTTAGGCAGTGCCTTCCCTTCTCTGAGCCCCAGTGGTCATCTCTAAAAAATGGGCATGCCAGCCTGGAACCAAAAAGAGCTCTTGGGAAGATGAAGAGGAAAAACGACTATGGAGTTGTTGGTGTATATAAAGTAACATGGAAATGTAAATTATCTAAAAATAAATCTTCTATGTGAAATGCAGAGCGAGGTTGGGACTTGAAAGACCTCTTTGGTTCTTTCAGCATTTATTGGCACCTACTATGTGCTTGGTGCTGTGCTAGGGCCTGGGCATGTAGGGATGAGTCAGGCATGGGCCCTGAGCATCTGGAACTGTCTGTCTACTGGGAGAAGTGAGGCAGGCACATCCAGTGTCGGGATTCCTCCCAGGGCGATGGCAAAGGAGAGACCTCCTGTGTGATGTGGTAGCAGGAGACAGACAGCCCAGGGCTGAAACCCTCCCCTCCTCCCTGTATGACCTTGAGCAGGTCAGCCTACCTCTTCAGGCCCCAGGCCTTCCTCTGCAAAATGGGCCAATACCCTCTGCCTCTGAGATGCCAGGACATGGCATACTGTAGGTTTGGAGTGGGGGACCTTGGGACGGGGTAGCCACTGGTTCCTAGACAGGAAATGGCCCTGCCCTGGTCAAAATCTGGGACTGCGCTTTGAGTGGGGACTTGCCCGCAGGAGTGGCCTGGGAACATAGGGGTGGGCCTCAGGGAACACTAAGGAGAGAAGCCAAGTAATTCCTCAGGCCCAGTTAGGAAAGGAGGGCAGAAATTCCAGGGAATCGGCCTGTGCCTTTATTTATGTTCCTGATTGCATTCAGGGAGAGGCGGCCAGCTCTACCCAAGGTCAGCCCTGCCCAGAGAGGAAAGGGGTAGGGGGCCACCTCAGTTTACTCAGCAAGAAATTCTGGGTCTCCTGCACCCATGAAGGCAGGGTGTCTTGGGATGAACTTGTGGGTGTGTTGAGTGTGGCCTGAAGCCTTGGTGGGGTTGGCCTGAATGAGGCTAACGGCCAATGTTGACAACTTCCCTGGGGCCTGGGGCTGTCCCAGAGCAGTGGGGCTGGCCGAAGTAAGGCCGGCCAAACTTCGGGGAATTCGGGGTGAGGAGAGAGGGAAGGAAGTTTGGGCCCCCAAAGGGCGGCGGTTTGGGGTTTCCCAGGGGAACACTGCTCTTCTGGCGCTGGGCTCGCACCGGAGAAAGGAGGCCAGTTGCGGGAAGGAGGGAAGGGCGTCTGCCCTGTACCGCCCGCGCGGGGCTAAAATCGGGCGGGGCAGCCCGGGGAGGCCGGAACGCCTGTGGTCGGGCGGGGTCTGCGCCCTACTCCCTGCGAGACCGCGGGGTCCGGGCGCAGCACGGCCTGCGAGGCTCGGGGCCAGGCCCGACCAGAGGGAACTCAGTCCCTGGGCTGGGCACTGCGCGCCTGCGGCTCCTGCCCTCTCGGCGGCTGCGGGCGCGGCGGCCCCTGCGCCCCCGGGGGCCGGCCCGGGGCGGGGTCTGGGTCCCGCGGGCGGGCGCGGGAGCGGAGGGTGGGGGGGACGGCGGCGAAGGCTGCGACGCTCTAACAGGTGGGATCCCGCGGCGTGGTGGAGGCGGGCGCGGGAGGAGGAGGAGGAGGAAGAGCAGCGGCAGCGGGAGCCTGAGCAGGAGCAGGATGAGCCGCGCGAGCTGACAGCCGCCGCCGCCGCCGCCCGCGCCCAGGCTCGGTCTCGCTCCCCGCGCCCGGAGCCGCTCCCCGCCTCCCGCCTCCCCCGGCCGCCCGCGGGGCGGCCCGCCCCCTCTGCACCTCCGGGCCCGGAGCTGCCTCCATCGCTCCCGCATCCCGGCCGGGGGGGAGGAGGAGGCGGAGCAGGAGGCGAGCCGGAGCCGCCGCCGCCAACGCCGCCGCTGCCGCCGCCCGAGCAGGACAGAGCGCGCCGCAGCCCCGCGCGTCCGGCCGCCGCCCGTGCCCATCAAGCAGCCGCGCCGGAGCCACACCGCGGGACAGCTCGGGCCGCGGCGCGCCCCGGCCCGGCCCAGCCCAGCCCAGTCCCGGCACCGGGCGGCCCGGCGGCCGGCCCGCCCCCGAGGGCGCCGGGCGCGGCGGGAGGATGCCGAAGCCGACGCTGCTGCTGCGCGGGGGCTGGGAGCGCGAGCGCAGCCCCGGGGACTCGGAGCTGGGCCGCCAGTTCCGGGACTGGTGCCTGCGCACCTACGGCGACTCGGCCAAAACCAAGACGGTGACACGCAGCAAATACCAGCGGATCGCCGAGGTCCTGCAGGGCGGCGGCGGGACCGGCGCGGGCAGCGGCCCGGCGGCCGGCGAGAAAGGCAAGTTCCAGTTCTGGGTGCGCTCCAAGGGCTTCCGCCTGGGCAGCGGCCGGGAACCCAAGATGGGCCAAGTGGTGTATGTGCCGGTCAAGACGGGCTCGGTGAGTGCGCGCGCGGCGGCCGCGGGCCGGTCCCGCCGCGGGGCTCTGGGCGGGCGGGGGCGGGGTGTGGGGGTGTGGATGTATGTCCGAACGTGTGTCCCTGAGGTTGTCCGTGGGTCTGGCCCGCCCGAGGCGCACGCGTCTCTGCTCACCCGCCCGCCCCGGCCCGCCCAGGCAGCGCTCCGGGTTCGGGGCGTCCCTGCCCCCCTCTGCGCCGCTGCCCGGGCCGTGGCCGTGCCGGGCGGGCTGTCCCGGGTAGCTCACCCCAGCATGTTCCGTCCTCCCGTCCCCTCCCCCAGCCAGCAGGCGGCTGCTCCGAAGCCTGAGCCTCCCCCCCGCCCGCCCCGGGGCTGCCTGTCCCGGGCGCCTCGCGCTCCCGCCCCCGGGCCGGCTGGGCGGTGTGTGTGTGTGTGTGTCTGTGTGTGTGTGTCTGTGTGTGTCCGTGTATGTGTGTGTGTGTGTGTGTGGAGGGTGGTGCCGCGGGAGGGGGGGGCAGGGGCCGCTACGGGACGGGGAGTCCACTCGGCTCCCCAGAGCCAGGGGAGGGGGCCCGCCCCGGCACTGTCTCCCCGACCCCACCCGGGGCTGGCCCGGGGAGGGGCGGCCCGAGCCGCAGCCTGGCGCAGGAGCAGCCTCGCGCGGGTGGGTGGGGCGCCCCCTCCGCCCCCCGGGCCCCTAGCTCCCCCCTCCCCGGGACGGGGGCGGCCTGACCTATCCATCCCCTCCCCTCCCCCGTCCCCGGGGCCGGCCCGGTCCGGGCGGGGTGGCGTGGGGGAGGGGGCGGGGAACCGCAGCCGCCGCGAGGGAGGAGGCGGGCGGCCGGGCGGGGGCGTCCCCTCCGGCCCGGGGCGCCCTGGAGAGGGCGTGCGGCGCGGGCCCCGCGGCTCCCCCGCCGGGACCTCATTGTTCTGCAGCGGGTGGGGGCTGGGGGGGGGCGGCTGCTCCCGGGGCGCTGCTGAGCTTTGAACTTTCCGTCGCGGAGACCCTCCATTAGTGCGTTCAGCCCCCGGCCCGACCCGGCCCGGCCGGCCTCCCTCCCTGCCCCCCTCGCTCCCTCCCCGGCCTCGCCCGGCCCGAGCGAGCGAGCCGGGCCGCCCCGCGCCGGCCTCCCTCCCTCCCTCGCTCCCCCGCTCCCCCCTCCGTGCTCCTCCCCCGTCCGGCCCGCCCGCCCCGCGCTCAGCCCCGTCCCCGGCCGGAGCGGGCTCTTCACACACAATTGATTCGGTCGTTACGAAAAGTGCACTTGTCCCCTCCCCCTCCCCCTCCGGCGGCCGCCCGGGCCCGGGCCCGCGGGGTGAGGGGGCCGTGAGGGAGGGAGGCTGGAGCCAGGGAGCGGATCCGGAGGCGCCTCCCCCCCGCGCCCAGGGGACGGGGCTGCAGGCCGCGGGGAGTGGGGAGCCGTGAGCGCGGAGGGCGGGCGGCCCATCTGCGAGGAGCGCTGATAACCGCGCCGCGGCCGCTGCGGCCGCCAGCAGCCCATCTGCGCCGCTGCCGCCTCCGGCCGGACCCGGAGCATGGGGCCGGGCCAAGGGGTGCGCCGGGGCCGGATTCCCGGAGGGCGAGGCTGGAGCAATGGCCCACCCCGCGCGAGTCAGGGACCCCCTCCCCAGCCCCAATCAGTACTCTCCCCCCAACCCGGGGAGTGTGGGTCATTGTCCCCTCCCCTGATTGAGTCAGGGACCCCTCCCCCAGCCCAAATCAGTGCCCGCTTGCCCATACGGGGAGTAAGGGCCATTGCCTCTTCCCAGCTTAGGTCAGTCTTCCTCACCATACCCCCTTGGGTTCCCCCCATCTTGGGCTAGTGTCCCCAGTCTAAGTGTGGGTTTTGTTTTTTGTGGTTTTTTTTTTGAGGTCAGTGACCCACCAGGTGGTTAACTGGGTCCGTGCCCCCTCCCCTGGGTCAGTGCCCTCAGCCATCCAAGCCAGCTAGCACCTCCTACCCCAGCCTGGTTATCCCTCCCCAGGGAGATGAGAGTCTTGGTTCACCTTCCCCATAGCAGGAAGCAGGATCCCCCACTGTACCCTGTACTGAAGTTGAGAGGCAGGTGACCCTCAGTTTTGTCAGCTGGCTCACCGGTTCTGTGTGGGTCCATCTGTCCCCTAGGGAGTAGGCATCATGGGCCGTCCCTTTACCCTCTTAGCAACGCTGCTGTCAAGGCAGAGCAAGCATGAGCATTCACACACACACACACACACACACACACACACACACACACACACACACCCTTCCAGGCCACATGCAGAAATTGGGTGCTAGGCCTGGGCTCCAGCTCCTCCCAGCCCAGCCAGTCCTTTCAGATCCTTCCTGAGGCTCCTCCTGACCCGCCTCATCTGTCCCTAACATCAGGGCCCCCACCAGCCTCCACCCTGGCTCCCCCACCAATAATAAGCCTTCCCCAAGGGACCACCTGCCTGGGAGGCAGAGAAAGGGGACCCAGGTCTCCCTGCCCAGGCTGCCAGGAGGACGACAAACACAACAGAGCAGTTGTGCCCTCCTTCGACAGCCTGCTCCTCCGGCTCCCCATGCTTTCCTGCCTGGCCTGCTGGTCCCCAGAGAGCCCGCCGTTAGTTACCTGCCACTCGCCCGCCCAGCTGACTGGAGCCAGCCGCAGGAGCTGCCCTGAGTCCTGCCACCCCCATCTCCGAGAACCTTCCTGGGGCTCAGTAATTATTTTTATATTTCCATTTTTCTTTCCACTGATCTAAGAGGAACAAATCCTGCTGGGAATTCTGGGCCAGCTATGGCCTCTTCCTGGGAGGGGCTGAATGGGACCATCTTTGAAAGGTGCAAAGGACATCCCCCTGCCTTCATGGGCCTGCGTGCACTCACGCGCGCGCACACACACACACACACACACAAAGTTGCCATTGCCTCTGGTGGCAGTTGGGAGACATCCTGTAGTTTTGTCCTGGGTGGGTTTCCGTGAAGGTCATCAGGCTGTAAATCTTTGTCCCAGGCACTTGCTCGGCCCCCATAGGCCTTGTGTTGGGTGTGGGGCACTGTGGCCGGTGGGACTCTGCCTGCTCCCGGGCACCCAGCTGGTGGGGGAGGCGTGCCTAGCTAAGGATGTGATAAAGCCCTCGGAGCCCCCAAGAGAGTGCAAGCAGCAAAAAAAAAAAAAAAAAAAAAAGATTTCAGGGAAGAGGGGCTGTGGGTGTTGGGTCATATCCAGTGGCTGAACCAGGGTCCCCGCTCGGTGTGCCGTCCCAAGGGTGGCCATGGTGTGTCATCTCTCTTCCATGTTGTTCTCTGGCTGCCCCCTCCCCGGGCCCCCTTGCCTCCTCCCACAGCCATATGCGGTGCTGTGGTTGGGCCCTTCCGTAGTCCCGGCCGGCGGCCGCGGGTCGATGATCTGACACCACTTGTCCCGTCCCATCTGGCCCTGTGCTTTTCTGGGTGTGTGTGACAAAGGCTTAATCTGTCCGGACGGGCCCAGGGCGGAGAGGAGGGCGCGGGGAATTACACTCTGCCAGGGCCTCCTGCAGCTGGGGCCCGGGCGGGGGCGGGGCGGGGGTCGAGCTGAGCCGAGCCTGGGCGTGGGGGAGAGGCAAGTTGGTCTCCAGTCTGCAGGTTGTCACAGGAAATAGAAGTGGAGGCGGAGGGCTGAGGGCTGAGGGCTGAGGGGAGGAGGGCGGAGTCCTCCACCCGCGGCATGGGGTGCTCATGGGGATAAGATCTTTTTATGACAAGAGCCAGCCGGGGCCTCCTGACTGGGCAAAGCCTGGTTAGGATTTATTATTTCTTGTGTTTGGCCTGCTCTGGCCTCCGTGCGATGCTGTGCAGGGGAAGCAAACGTCTTGGAGGCAAGTCCCTCGGATTCCACTCCAGCGTCGGCCACAAAGTGAACCAACCTCTTTCTTTTTCCTCTGGTCTCTTCGAGTGGAGCTGTCCCCTCCGGGGCCTGCAAGGGCCACAGGTTATGGCTGGGGCGGGGCCCCGGGCCATCTGTCAAGTCCCAGGACCTCCTTGGAGATAGATGTTCTCAGCTCAAATCGACCATCTTCCGGGTGGGAAGACCGAGGCCTCGTTGGCAGGAAGCTGGGACTGGAATACGGATTTCTGTGCTCCACTGTGGGCATCGTGGGCCCATCACAGGCTGTGAATCCCCCCACTAGAGCCCCATTCCCCGAGGGGAAACGCCAGCTTGCCAAACCCCACTGTCAACATTAGGCTTTTGCGAGCCGGACCCCAGGTGTTCCGCTGGCCAAATTGACTAATGGTGGTCTTTTCCCAGTTTGCAGACAACGTTCATTTAGCGGAGAGCATTTTCTCAGTCTTCGCTCTGTCTCCCCAGAGCTTTTGTGTAAAACCTTTGGCACCTGCGGCCACTGGTCTGGGCGGGAAATGGCCTCTGACTTAGCCCGGTGTAATGTATGCTGTGACCTTCGCTTGAATTCCTCAATGTTTCCTGCTTTTCTCCAACTTATCACCACAGTGACAGCTTCTGAGTCACCTACCGTGTGCCTGTCCCGGTACCGAGGGGCTGACACACATCGACTCGTCAGATTCTCGCCATCCCCCAGAGGTCAATGCTGCTATTTGCGCTCCCCTCCAGATGAGTAAACTGAGGCTTAGCAAGGTGCAGTACTAGGCCTCACTGCTGATGGGGGCAGGCCGTGAGCTTGGCTACTGCTTGTACACGTCTCCATTCTGACGCCATCTGAGGGGTCTCGTGGCCTGATCCCTTGGAAAGCATAGGTCCTTCGTGACAAGCTTTCAGTCTGTTACACCTTAGTCTGAATTAGTTTATAAGAATCCCTCTGCTCAGGATGTCTGGGATCACAGGCCGGTGCTGGAGGCAGGACTGGCTCCACATGAGGCATCTGGGGACTTAACTGGGACTCTCAAGGATGGGTAAGGGGTGAGAAGAAGGGAGACCTCCATTGTCCCCAGGGGACTTTTGAGGAGAAGCCTGACAGTGACATCTGGCAGGGGCCCCATTTGGATTTCTCCTGAGTGGCAGAAGTGGGCTGTTTTGTCAATTAAGCCTCAGTGATTT